CACCTCCCTTACCCCTCACCGACCCTCCCCTCCCTCGAAACCTTTCCCCCACCCTCGCAAAAACCTAAAAAACTGCAACCCCTTCCCGCATGGGGTTTCGAGGGTGGGGAAGGGCCGGCCGACCGTTCTACGGGAAGAGACTGCGATTTTTTTAGGTTTTTGCAGGGGTGGGGGAAGAGTTTCGGGGGAGGGGAGGGCCGGCGAGGGGTGGGGGAGACACAGCGTGGAGCGGCGAGTGGTGGTTGGGTGGTGGCTAAGAAAGTGGAAAAGTGGAAGAAAGTAGGGAGCAGTGTGGTGGTTGGGTGGCCAGAGAAGGTTGCTTGATTCCCTTTGTGTTTCAAAACAAACAACAAAATAAATTCTCTTTCTTTCCCTTTTACATTCCATTCCGTTTACCTCGTGCGAACCAAACGACCCCTTATAGTAATTGTAATAACAATAACAATAACAATAACAATAGTTCTGTTCACTGTAGTTCAGTTCAAGTCGTTTCAGGTTAGTTCATTTTAGTTCACTTCAGCCCCCAAAAAAGGGGGGAAGGGGGACTTTAGTCGTTCAACAAATCTCATAACCAAATTTATCCTTGAATGTTGGACAAGCTAAGTACAAAATATGTATAATTCAATACTCTCTCCATCCCCGAATATTTGACACGTTTGACTTTTATCACTGTTCTTTTACTAATTTGTACTAAGTTTTTTTTTTTAGTAATGTATTAAATACAAATTTATCATCAAATATGTTGTTAGGTAGATAGATATGAATACGAAGTTTCATAATATCAACTTTTTATATTTTTTTCTATAAATACGTCAAAGTAGCATTGACATGTGCAATATAATGTTTTAATTATTATGGGACTGAAAAAGTATAAAGATAATATATATGCCAATTGTTAAAATTATTTAATTTTTCTTATTTTAAGTGGGTATAAGGCAATTTTAATTCCAGTCCATAACTTCCTTGAGTATAGCTCCTGTTGTTCTTCTCTGGCTAGGAAGTTAAGCTAAGTTTTAATATTTTTATATTTTTATATAACATTGGGTATTGTAATACTTTTTTGGACTTTTTGTGAAAAACTACCTGATATACTTTAAATTTTGTGAAAAACTACCTTATAAAAAAATTGTTGTAAGAAACTACCTTATAAAAACTAAATGTTGTAAGTTGCTACCATGTGCTTGATTTAACAATGAAAGAGATGGGGAATTGAGGGTTATAGGGGGGCTATGGAGAAATTGGGTGGGAAAAGGAGAAAAAATGATTGAAAATGGGTCATTAAACGTCCCTTATTCAATGCAATAAGGTAGCTTCTTACAATATTTAGTGTTTTATAGTTTCATACAACACATACATAGTGTTTTATAGAGTAGATTCTTACAACATGTTTTTAATAAGGCAGTTATTCACAAAATCTGAAATGTATAAGGTAGTTTTTCACTTTAAATCCAACTACATCCGAATCCGACCCAGATTGCACAGCTGGCTTATGATGGGTGAATCTCCCAACAAACTTTCTGCATTCGCTGAGCTTCGAACTCGAATTGTACGTAATACTACATACAATCATTTCTTTTATAAAATATAGTGGCCTGGTACTTGCTTTTAATCTTTATCTAAAGACAAATACTTTCACTTATTCGTCCTCCTCTTCAACTAAGAATAATCGATTTTCTTGCCAAAACTTGGTCTTTTAAGGTTTTGAGGGTCACTTTGATCTTTTGGGTCCGATTTAAGGTCAAAACATCTAAAAAAAAGTATCGAAATTGCCTCATATTGAGAATTTCACGCAAATTGAGGTAATTTCCAATATGTAAAACGAGGCATTTCCAATAATTTTTTAAAATTATGTCCTCAAATTGAACCCAAGGGCCCAAAGTAACCCCCAAAACCTTAATAGACCATGTTTTGGCACGAAAATCAATGTTTTATTTGAAAATTGAAACTAAATGTGGTGATTTCTAATTTATTTATTTATTTATTTATTTATTTTACTTTAAGGGGTGGTTATTTAAAATAAACAAAAAACATGGGTGGTAAAACCAATTTTAGGTTCTTTGAGTTGTAGTTACTTACAATTTTCCCTAAAAATAATTTCAATTCATTAAAAATAATTAATTTCGTTTCAGTAAAATTAAGTTCAGTTAGCATAAATAATTCATTTTTAGTAAAAATAAGTTTTAAGCAGTAAAAGTCAGTAAACTTTAAAGACCAAACATAGTAGAGAATTAGTAAAATAATTTTTAATTAATAAAAATAAGTTCTATTCAATAAAATAAATTTTAAGTTCAGTAAAATTAATACTCATATGAGTTCAACAAAATTTTAGTTCTGTAAAAATAATTTCAGTTCAACAAAAATAAGGTAAGGAAACAGAGCCTTAAGTGTGATAATTCGAACTCCAATCATCTAGTGTTTAAGGTGATACTGTTATGAGTAAAGCCTTGTTTAATAACATGATAATTGTTTCTTTCTAGATTGAGAAAAATCTAAAAACTCGAGTAATACTTTCTGTAACTACTCTATTGCATTAAAACGTCTTTTTTCAAATTAACCTTATCGTAAGACATTAATATAGATTAAGTGGATTAAATCAATTTATATGATACTACATACTACGTAACATATTACATATTTCTTGACTGTGTCAAGAAGATAGACAAAGTCATCACCTACTAGGTGAAAAACTTGATTATATATATTAACCAACTAATCTTATTATAAAACTAATCAATTAGAGAAGAAAGTTTCGTGATTAATGACTAATTCTACGTACGTCTTTGATGCATAGCCTAGCTTCCCTAAACTCAACTATAAAAGGCGTCATTCAGCATGCACGAATTATAAGTTTATAACTTGTATTAGAAACTCTCACATATATTTGAGTGTAACATACCAAATTTCATCCCGTCAAAAAAAAGAACATACCAATTTCATAAGAAGGAAAAAAAATGGAAGCTCGTTATTTTCTTGCTTACCTTACTTTCTTTGCCATGTCTTCCTATGTGGCCTATGCGACGGATCCTACACAGTTACAAGACTTCTGTGTCGCGATGAATGACCCAAATAATGGATGTATGTTTTTATCTTGCTCAATCCCAAACGATGTGAATTTATATTTTTTTTGTACTTCTTCATGTTGGTATTAATTGTTTAACATATTTGCAGTGTTTGTGAACGGATTGCTATGTAAGAATCCAATGGCTGCCAAACCTGAGGATTTCTTTTTCGAAGGGCTAGAATAGCCAGGAAACACTAACAACATGGTACGTTCCAATGTCACACTAGTATCTGCATTACAACTTGCAGGACTCAACACCCTCGGCATATCTTTGGCTAGGATCGACTATGCACCTTACGGCCTTAATCCTCCTCACACTCATCCTCGGGCAAGTGAAATCCTTACAGTCATTGAAGGAACCCTCTATGTTGGATTCGTAACTTCTAACCTTCAAAATGGAGATAACAAGTTGTTCGCAAAGGTGCTTAACAAAGGAGATGTTTTTGTTTTTCCACAAGGCCTCATTCATTTTCAATTCAACGCTGGAAAAGTTCCTGCTATCGCTATTGCTGGGTTAAGCAGCCAAAACCCTGGTACGGTCACCATTGCTAAGGCGGTGTTCGGGGCTGAGCCACCTATCTCGGTTGATGTTCTAAGCAAGGCCTTCCAGCTAGATGATCACATAGTAAAGAAGCTTCAGTCTCAGTTTTGGATGAGTCCTTAATTGAGTTAATTCTTCCATGACTTTGGAGTATTAATATAAACCGTTATTTTGATATTTCAAATGTAGAACTACAAAAATTAGTACTTGCATATCATATCCAAGTGAATAAGTGATCGATATGGTCTTGGTTTATCAATTTTTACTTTATTGTGTTCTAAATGTATCTTAATATATTTTTAATCACATGCTATTGCACGAGATATTTCTATAATAATTTCCTATTTTACTTGTGTTGTTATTGAATTATTATGGAAAATTTTTACTTGTATTATACTACACATATTAGAATTTTTATGAAAAAAAATTTCTGATATTATACATATATAAGCAATTCGAGAGTAGTTATTTGATTCCAAATTATCAGCTTTTACCCAACGATGGAATGTATATAAATAGTCAGAGTAAGATGGTGCACAATCTATATGGCATAAGATTTTCAAGCATATGCTAATTTTTTTTTTTTTTTAGAGAGCCACAAGGACTACTTAACTTTTTTAAATTTCTTTACTTCTTTGTTCTATCAAACACAAAAATCACTACTTTAGATGGTTTTAGGTCATTTCTTGTGCTAAGCCCACTTGCTTTGGGTTAGATAGACCTAGTCCTTGAGCTAGTGACGTATCCAGGAGTTCCGAACTAAAAACATAAAAAAATTGAGGTTTTGAGGGATCAAACCCGTGATCTACAATAGTCCAGCAGTTAGGATGTAAGCTAAAAATACCACTGAGCCACACACCATCATCGATTCTATTATACACAAAATGTTCCTTTTAACCCTTTTTATTACGAAAAATCTGTTGATGAACCCACTTGAACTCCCGTGTATCCGCCCCTGCCATGAGCTACATGCCATGTCAAAAAATTTCAAAAGATTAACCCATGCACAACCCAAGCCCATGTATCAATTAACCGTGTCAAGCCTTATCAGGCCAGGCCTTGTATTTCTCTCAAAAAAGGGCGGCCACGGCTCAACATGTACAACAATGAACAATGTGCCATGTCCTGTAATATTTTTGTGCTAGTGCCATCTTTATAAATGGCCAATCCAACACCATTTGTGTATACTTTGTTGAATAAGATATTATATGAAGTAGAAAGAATATAAATTTTTTATAATTAATCTGTATATTAAAGTAGAAGAGAAGGGGAAGACCACATACCCAAGTTTCTAGACTTTTACAAACAGAGATGAAAATTCAAACAGATGTCTTCTTTTGGTTACAGCCTCCTCATGCCTCTGCAGGAAACAAAAAAGATAGGGAAAAAAAAAGGCTCTAAGCTGAACTGTTGCTATTCTTAACAATGTGATATGGACAAGATACAAGACTTAAAAATGTAACCTATGTGTACAAAAAATAATATGAAGTGTGACAAATCTTGGAAAAATAGCAGTCACTCCTGTATCATCTGCCAAGTATTACCATCAGTGAGTCAGTGATGCGCATTTGCGGGTCTCAAGTCCCAAAGTTCTCTATCAGAGCCAATTCAAAATCTACTTTCTTCAGATCGTGAGCTGAAGTATGATTACCTGATTGGAATCAGGTTTGTCTAAATCCTGATATTTTCCATGTCTTCTATCACAAGATTTTCAGAATCTAATTCCTTAGAATCTCCTGCTGGAGCTAGTTTAAACTCTGATTTCTTCATGTCTTCTACTGCAGATTGATCAGTATCTGGTTTTGTTAGTTCTTCAGTCCCAAGTTCATGTTTCTTATTGCCATTTGGTGAAGACTGTTCAGAAACAGAATTCTTCTTCAATTCTGTCTCTGTATGTTCAGTGTCTGAACCCTTCATATTTTCTGATGGTGATCGTTCAAATCCTGATTCCTTATTGTCTTCTGCTGAAATCTGTACACTTTCCAAATTATTTTTTCCCTCTGATGTAGGCTCTTTGGAATTTGGTTTTTTTGTATCTTCCTCACTGTCAACATTCTTCTTTACAACCTCAAATGGCTCAAGCTTTGAGTCAAGATTTTTAACAGCATTTGTGAAAGACCTCACACTTTGCATTCCGGCCAACCGGCCAGAAGATTCCTGCCAGATAGGGCGAATGTTATATTTGCATGGGAAGTGCTATTAAAGATTAAAATAATTTTGGATAAATGAACAAGTGCGTTGCATTACATTTAATGCAGTGAACATGAGAAAATTCTTCTCACAGGCAATGAACCTATCAGCTAAGCTCTCAAACAGTCATAGTAACAAGTGAAAGTAAAACAAACATGTGAACAAGTTAGCCAACAATTCAACAAGCAGCACACACACACAAAAGGTATGAAGTTTATAGTCTAGGTCAGAACAATTGTTGCTGGCAGCCTTTAACAACAGACTTTGGTAACTTGGTTACTCTTTGTTAATTTGTAATGTAACACTTTTCAAGCACATTAAGGCAATCTTTAGCCTACTATAATGAGCAATGAGCATCAAGTAAACCCTTGAAGATCCAGGTGGTTTTAATTACTGAATTTGATCTTAGATCCTGATCTCCATGGTTGCAAGTGAATATAGCTAATAAGTAAAATTAATTTAATGCCCAACAGTGGGAAAAATTCATACCTTCTCCATCACAAAAATCCACATAGTTTACCAGTCAGCAAGTTAAATCGTAATAGAAACCTCAGCAAAATTTCCCTAAATATCAGATACTGGGTAGTACTTCAATGCATGCATTGAATGATAATAATCCATGTCCAATTTTAACAGTGTCACTCTGTCTGAAGTTTTTGACCTTGACGTGTTAGATACATGGATAACCTAGACGTGTTAGATGCTTGGATTTGTACCAGCACCCAACACTCGTACCAGTATTTGAGTAACATACGCCGCACAAGCATCATCTTTGAAATTCTTTACAAATAAGATAAAAACCCATCTGGCATAAGCGAATGTAACCTATCCACTCCCACCTCCCGGGTGTTGCTAAAAGTGAAAAATGTTTGTTTGGAGTTGAGATCATATTTAGGGGTGATTAGTTTTCCATTTGTCACCTTATAGCATGATCAAATATGTGCAATAGTGCAAGTTAGGGGACATAGAACCATATCACAAAGACAGATTAATTTCATGATAAAAGCTTGCCACGTAAGTACTGCAATTAGGCAGCCGAGACCATCTCGCCAATTCTCATTGTTTCCTAAGCCAGCTCTGTGAGCATTCCCAACTGTGCTTCCACAAATAATTAAGTTATACATCCTGAAACTGGCACTAACATTAGAAGTCCATTTAGCCAAAAACACAGTAAAGATCTGATCCAGTGTTACAGAGCTTTTGAGTAAGGGAAAACCAAACTTAAACAAAACCAATCACTCTTTGTTTTGAACATTATACAACTGGAAAAGAGTAAACAATCGCAAGCTGCAATAGTTTTGACAGTTGTAATTTGAGTAATCATGGTGCATCTTCAATTTTATTTTGGAAAGGGAAAATTGCCATAACTAAAGCTGCTGCTTGTGAAATATGAAGTATAAGAAAATCAATGGAATTTCTCTACGAGGGAGAGAAAAATAAAACAACAGATATCAAGTTTTTGAACTCACATGTTCTATTTGGTCAGCTCGATGCGTCAAATCCTCAGCTGAAATTCCCTTGTGAAGATATTGAAGAGCATATAGCAAGTGAGAACGAATATCATCCAAAAAGTGTTCCTTGACATTACAACTAGGGACAGTAGCTTGACATCCAATCGAGTAGAAGGGGCAGTTTACAAGCTTCATTGGACAGACAGTAATGCAATGCCTGTCCATTTCCCGTCTCATGAGGATTTCTGGGCATTTTTGCTCACAAGGAAGCACCTTGAAGGGACAGACAGAATCATGAAGTTCCATTTGAGCGGCACTGAACGTTGCACAACATCCCTCATTTCTACACAACACAGTCCTGAAACCACAACGTGGACGATGCTGTTTAAGTTCTTCCTCAGACTTGAACTTCAAATTGCAATGAAATTCATTCTTAAAATCGACATTCTTAAGGAGAGTTTGCGCAATAGTTTCCCTCCTATCTAACAACCAGAAGCTATTCAACTCCATTTCTTGTACAAACTCATCGATTTTGTCCTCTCTCATGTCACTAAGCAACCACCCTGAAACCCGGGTCAATATATTCATCTTGAGAGTAGCAAAATCATCGATGAGGTCAGAAATTATGTCTGATGGCTGGTCAGGTTTTTCCTCAGGGCCCTCTTCTGCGAGGAAAGATTCCGCAACAAAGGATTCACTTCTCTCTATAAGATAATCCAACATCTCTTTTCTTATCTCAGCAGCAACAGTGCCAGGACTTTTGAACATATCTCCCGTCGTATTGTCAACACATGCAGTAGATAAACCTTCAAGTAAAACTAGTGCCATCTTGTGAACCATTTCCTTATCACAAAGTTCACAACTAAATTTTTTACCTTCCTCCTTTATATCTTCAAATTTCTCTTGTTTAAGATCAACCTCAGTGAAAGCTGTATCTGGATCCATCATCTTGAAAACAAAATTTCAACAAATATAAACCCCCTCTTACATAACAAAATATAAGAGATTATCTTGAGCTAGAACTTTTACAAGCTGTAACAGTGAAATGCTTCACAGCCTTTCGGATTTCAAGTCTTCAACACCAATCATAAAGCAACCACCTAAAGCAAGACAGGGGAACGGTTAAAATAGGAAACTAAACAATCTTAAAAGTATTCGCACAACCAAACCACACAAGGCAGTGTTAATACTACATAGACTTAGGGCTGCCCTCTTCAACTTTGATTTAAAATGAATTTCACCAAAATTATTATTTTTTTTTTTAGCAAAATGAGTTAATTTAAGCATTAAAAAGTTAAGTTCAATAAAAACAAGTCAGTCCAACGATAATTGAGTTTACTTAAGCAAAAGTTCAAGAAAAATAAGCCGATGAGGACAGAATCCTGGTAAAAGTCTCAATAGACACACACACATTCAAAAGCATCTAATGAGCAAAAGTTGGCAATACTCACAATTCAATTAATAGTAGGCAAAATTATTCAATTGTCCAATGTCATACATATGGAGAGTTAAGGATTAGACATGGAAACTCTGGGACAACGAGGATTAACAATTGAAAAAACTACTCAAACTATCATATCAATAAGTCGAAATTTTCATATACATCTGTCACTTCTTTGCTAATCAACAAATTTGATAATTGCCCACAAAACACAGAAATGCATTAGAAATTATACATTGATTTCTAACAATTTACAATTTTTCTTCACATATCGTGAAATATGTTTACTAATCGAGGTTGACAAATAGGAAACAATCATCTTTGATCAATGTCCAAACATTTTATATATGCGAATTATAAAAATTACATTGCAATTTTCAATTAAACAACGAATATTGAATGCAAAGCGATTAAACAATTGAAATAACCAACAATAATAAAGCTAAATTAAAATTTTCAATTGCAGAAAAAGAATTCAAATTAAGAAGGCTCAAACCGAAAATAATCAAAACTTACATTTCACCTAAATCTGTTATAAGAACATAATTCGACCTTAATTTCATATTGATTCATCTTTCTTCCTGCAAAAATTTTTTTAAAAAAAAAAAAATTAAAACCATCACATTATGTAAAGTTTAATACTGTAAAATTTACAGAAATGAAATTAAAATAAAATCGCATACTTACAAATCGGAGAGAGAATCCAGAAAATGAAACCTAAAAGCGGATGAAAATTCGAAAGAAAAGAGAGGTGAATTGTTGAGATTTGAATTGAGGAGAGAGAAAAATGTACTAATTGGATGATCAAAGAGAGCGGAAGGATATTAATTAATGTCTAAATTTGATTAAATGTTGACCCATTATGTTAGCTCATTTTTTTTAAGTGCTCCTCCATACTTTAGTCTAGAGGTATCAAAATTACACCCGATTCAATCCGATTTGAAATTGACCCAAAAAATACAGATTTGGACTAGTGTGAACATAATAATTTAGCATGACTCAATTTTAAAAATTGACTCGACCCGACCCAACCTCCTCAGATCCGATCCGATCATCCGAATTGACACCTTTACTTTATTCGATAGTCCTATAGGGATTAAAGTAATTCGGATTAAAATCGAATCGAACCGAATTAGTAATTCGGTTTGGTTGTTTTTTTTTTTTTAATTTGAATTGGATCGGTTTGGAAAGTTAAATGATATGGATTACGGTTTGGGGTTTAAAAAAACCGAAAACCGAATTACAAACCGAAATTTTGCCCCATTAATTACATTAAGACCATTTTCTTTTACAAAGTATCCCAACTCCTTTCCCATTTCATATATTTCTCAATTATCTTTTCTCGGTATCTCACTATCTCACAAAGAATGTATTTAACAAGAAAAGATTAAATGATTGTAGGAATTTTATGGGTGGAATTCGGGTTTCGGGTTTGAATGTTGCGGAAAAAGGAACAAATTTCGGTTTGGATTGGATTTAATTAGAAAAATCGAATTAATTCGGTTTGGTTTGGATTGGACCGAATCTTAATTCAGTTTGGACCCGATTTGAGAAATCCAAAACTGAATTAATTCGGATTGGATTCGGTTTTAGCTTTAATCCAAACTGCAAACTGAACTTTCACCCCTAATCCTTTACTCAGGTACGCATCAAGAGAAGTGAGAAGTTTTTTGTGAGATAAACGGATTTTGTTTATTAAATGACAAAATTATAAATAAATCAACAATTTTTTTAGTAAATATGGGCTCATAATTGTTGTTATAATTACGAAAATGTCATATTGGCTAAATATTTTTGTTGATTTATTTACGATTTTGTCACTTGATAAACGATTTTTTTTATAAATATTACTTCCTCGTTCTTTTTTTATTGCACCATAAGTGCTTTCACGCTTGTCAATGCATTACTTGTCTATTAATATCTTTAATTATACTTCGGTAAAAATTATAAAAAATTGATATTTGAAAAGTAGATTTTGAGACAAACCTAACTAGATCCCACATGACTATATTTTTTCTTACAAATAAATCACAAAAAATGGTCAAAGAAGCTTATGTGATTATGTGAATAGTGTAAGTCCTTATGGTGCAATAAAAGAAAAACATAGGAAGTATGAACTTTTTACTTCTTCTGTTGTGATATATATGCTGAGTGTTACTCAGTTAGTGTAGCAATACATAGAATAAGTGAAAATAGGATAATGTATGCATGTGGGTATTTTTACTTTAAAGATGAAAGAATAAGGGATTTAATAAATAAAATGGGGCTTATAAAGTGGGGTGATATATAGATGATAAAAAATAAAAAAAAAAGGCTGGCTTAAAAGATACGAAGGAAGTATAAAGTAAAAATGAGTAAGAAAAATGGATGAAAACAGAAAGTGAATAACACTTGGGAAAACAGAGGAAGTATGAGATACATCCTCTGTCCCTATTTTTTTGCTCCATTGCAAATAATTGGGTCAAATTTCAAAAATTTTGACTATAAATTTTCATTAATCAATAAAAATAATAATATGGTCATATGAGGTTTTATTGGATTCGTCTCTTTGTACTTTTAACTATTGCGTTTTTATAATTTTTATGCGTATAGAAATGAAGTAATATACATTTGCGATTTGAAGACCGTGTAAAGTCCAATGGGGTGAAAAAATAGGGAAGAGGGAGTAGTAAAGATACCAGTAAGTGAATAAATAGTACCGTTAGTTTTTTTTTTCTTTTTTTTTTCCCAGAGAAGAAGGACCCTGACCGAATCTGATCTCAACCCTCACGGTTTTTTTTGGTCAGGTATTTGCTGGTCAAACACTTTGAAAGTGAGGGGGGAAAAGTAAGGGATCCTCACCCTTAAAGTGCTTTTAGTGAGGATTGAACCCCCAACCTCAAGGTTGGAAGGTACAATCTTTCTCACTAATAGTACCATTAGATAGTGTAATGGTATTATAATGCCTACTGATGGTGTAAATGTGTCATGATATTTTTCTGGTAGTACAAATAAAGTTTTATGAAATAGGTAAATTTCAACACTAATAGTATCATTAATTAATACTTCAATGACAGTTTATATGTATCAATTCTAATACTATACAAAATATATACCATTGAATTGAAATTCAAATTTAATTTCATAGAAAATGATCAACATATATACCCCATTCTACGGCACGGTCGGGTATATATGTACCTAAAATTTTCCCCTATAATCCTATATGTAGCTCTTACAGCTATGAATAAGCATTTAAATCATTTCTAAATTGGTATTAATTTAGAAATGTATGACAAAACCACACATAAATAAGTGTAATGAATGTTATATTTTCAGTTGTTTTTTTTTTTCTTTAGTTTCTTATACGTTGCCCTAAGTGTTACGTATAGCAATTTCCATTTTTTTTTTTTTTGGTTAAATATAGGCTTCATTGTGGCCAATTGACCAGATCATATTGCCCTAAGTGTTATGTATAGCAATTTCCTTTTTTTTTTTTGTTAAATATAGGCTTCACTGTGGCCAATTGACCAGATCGGTAAAAAGAATATATATATATATATAAAAAATACCTAGCGACAATTTGATAAAAAAATAAATTCGTCGACAGTTTAGTAAAATGGTTAACCTTATGCGACAATTTGGTAAATAAAATAAACTCAGACACAAACTCTTCAAAATAACTATTTTAATTTGTTTTCAAATTTCTTATACTTCCTCCATTCTTTTAATATTGCACCACTTGTCTTTTATAGAAGTTTTACAAATATTGCACCATTTCTATTTTTGGACAAAAAATATATATGTTCACACTTTAAATACAAAACATACCCTTACTTTTTCACCCTTATTATTTAGTCTATGTTTAAATTACATGGACACTTTTGTATTTTTATCTTTCTCTCTCTTCCTTTCCCCACTACTAAAATTATTGTGCCCAATTTGTGTGGTGCAATAATAAAAAAAAAAAACGGAGGAAGTATTTGTTTTTTTCCCATCTATCTATACTATATACAAAAATAATCGCCAAGTAGGACACTTGGCAAAATTCTATGAAAAATTTTCCCTCCATTTTTTTAAGGTTTTATTTTTTTTTTTTGGAGGAAAATGCTATTTTTTTTATTAAAGAATGAAATTTTATAAAAAAAAAAAAGTATGTAACAAGAATAATGTTAAGGATTTTCTTCCAAAAAAAAAGAATTTTAAGGATATACGTTAGATAAATTTAAATAAATCATCGTTAATAATTCTTTCCTTTATAAATCTGTGCATTTGCACATGCGAGAGAATAAGATGAGATTCAAGTTCCATAATCAATATGTGATTTGTACAGACAGGTGTACCATGAGCATGGTACACCTAGAAGTACATACATTACATATTTACATATAAATAAAAGAACATTAGGACAAATTTAACATATTTTATTTATATGTAATGTTTTTAATTTTACATGTAATGTTTTTTTTTTCCCCAGAAAATATGGTGTACTTTCAGAAAACATGAGGTACTCTATATTCGTTTGTAATGTATAATAAATTATTATAACTACGATTTTTATTTAATATTAGTTCTTTTTCAGAAAACATGATATACTTTATGTTCGTTTGTAATGTATAATAAATTATTATAACTAAGATTTTTTTTTTAAAATACCCATTATTATATAATCAAATTCAAAGAATATATTTATATGTAATGTTCTTTTATTTATAAGTTATGTTCTTTTATTTATAGATAATGTTATTTTATTTATATGTAATGTTCTTTTATTTATAAGGTATGTTCTATTATTTATAGGTAATAATATTCCGGGTGTACCATGCGCATGGTACACCCACTTGTTCTATACTAATTTCATTCATTAATTAAATTTAAATGTATTGAACTTGAATGTGGTATTAGTCATTCCTAGTTTTTTTTTATTTTTTTCGTAGTTGTATATAGTACTTGTAGATTTTGTAACTTGATTGTTTGATGCAATACCGAAATTGAAAATTGTATAATACACTAGGGTGCACCATGCACATAATGCATCTGGTGATGTGGCATAACTAATTAGCATTAAATTAGTGAAAAATTAAAAAAAAAATAGTGAAAAATACTATAAAAAAAAACTGGGAGAAATTATAAGGAATTATTCCCTTTAAACTGCTTTTAGTTTTAAATTATTATCCTTAATGGACATTTTCCATTTTAAAAATATTTTTAAAACATTTTTGGGTTTCAATAATACAAAGTATATTCTTTGAATTTGGCTCGTATTTTCTTTGAGGTAACGAGTGATGCACAAATTCTTTTTTGAATTATCATATATCATTATTTTTTATTGTCGTATGTTCTTTGAGTTTGATCAGTGTGTTCTTCGGGTATGAATTATATGTTCTTTGCATTATATTTTATGTTCTTTTAACATATGTATGTTATTTTGAATTTTGAAATTTAATTTGAAAATGAAATCTTCGTTTTTTCTTAGTTGAAAATATTTTAGAGGGAGAAAACTAAAATTATTATGGAAAGTTAATTTTTGGAGAGAGAAAAAACAATTTTCGGGGAAATGACATCATTGGTAAAGTTTTTTTCCGTTAATGTGTAATTTTTCATAACATTTTAATAAAGTTTTTATCACGTTTTTTTTTGTAATGTTTTTATGATCTTTAATAATGCATATTCTTTGTTAAATACAAATATGTTCTTTTTCAAAAACCTACATGTTCTTTTTCAAATAGCTAAATGTTCTTTTCGTCTTTTTTTTTTTATTTAACCAGGTGCACCATGTGCATGGTGCACCCGGGTGCACAGATCATGCATTGTACCGAAATAGGATAACTTAACATGTACTAGAATAATAACCCATACAATTTATTATAATATTCAATTAATTCAAATCAATAAGTGATGATGAAGACACATTTATTATTGTATTATTTTCGATATGTATATACGAGAGATGTAAATAACAAGCTAGCTGCATCTAAAGTCCTTCTTTGAATACGAAGTACAATTTTGACTTTCATACAATCATGATATGAATACTACGTATTAAACTTGACCTGAGAAAAAGTCAAGTTATCCAGACCATAATTTTTTCCTATATAAAGGGTACCTATTGCAGCTAAGAAAATACAAGAAACGAACCAAATACACACTATTAAAGCTAAGCTAATATACCATTTTATCAAGTATCCCACACCACCTATCTTTAGCTTACATAATGAGAAATCTTTCATTTTTCTTCCTTTTTTGTCTACTATCATCTCTCTCATACGCCATAGAACTCGACTTTTGTGTCGGGGATCCTAGTCTTCCTAGAGGACCAGAAGGACATGCTTGTAAAGATCCTGCTAAAGTCACAACTGATGATTTTGTTTACACTGGTTTCCGTGGAGAAAAAATTCCAAATAATGTTTTCGGGAACAATGTGACATTGGCATTTTCAGATGTGTTCCCAGCATTTAATGGTCTAGGCATATCTATGGCCAGGTTAGATTTCGCCGTAGGAGGGGTAATCCCAGTACATTCCCATCGTACGTCGGAAGTTCTTCTTTTGGTGAAAGGTTCGATCATTGCAGGATTTATTGACACAAACAACACTGCGTATTATAAAAGATTAGAGGTTGGTGATGTAATGGTATTTCCACAAGCCATGCTTCACTTCCAAATCAACGTTGGTAAAACTCCGGCTACTGCATTTGTTAGTTTGAATGGAGCAAACCCGGCACTACAACTCACTCCTACCTCCTTATTCGCTGGGAATTTACCTGCTGATATAGCTCAGCAAATCACACTCTTAAGTCATGAAGAAGTAATGCGAATGAAGAGAATCTTCGGCACAGCCTAACAAAATTTCTTTCTCGAATTATTTCAAATTGTACCATAATAAATTCTATAAGATTGTAATAAACACGTGTATAACTAAGCATGACTTTTTTAAATTATCAATTGTGATCTTCCCGAATTGATTCGTTATTTCTTGTTATATGTATTATATATGTACCATGAGATATAGAAGTTACTTAGTACTTAAAATCTTGTGATCAAAAAAATTTCCTCACAATACTTTATACTCTCTCTGGCTTTGTTCATCTCATCTTATACGTAGAGTAATTAAAGCAAAAAATAAGTTTAAGTAATATTTTTATTTATTTATAATTTAATTCTAAGCAATATTAATTAACTTAATGCAAGAATAAGCTCTTTTTAGCAATATTAAGTTCACGTACAACCATGCACCATCACCCAAGGCATTATTTAGGCGTTAGACCTTTACATGCCATCTCTTGAAACCTTTTGATAATTTTTTTTTTTTTTTTGGAATTAATTTTTTTTTTAACAAAATAGATGGTACCTCACATCTCTGCAATTATGCAGGGAATGGGAGATCAAAAGGATTTAACAAAAATATAGTTAAGAAAATAAATAATTTAAAGTGTGCATTAACAAATGTAAAAATTCTAAGTTTAGCATAGTTTAAGAGAGATCAATAAGAAATTCTACTTCGTACATTGAATTAAAAAAAATATAATGCAAGTCAAACAACCAATCAAATAAAGATTGAAAAAAAAAGAGTAATAATTCTACTAACAGAACTTCCATTTGTAATTGATTGATATTTTGTACATATAATGTGGTACCGGTCGAGCCTCCACCAAGTAGCCCCTCGTTGCGCCGCCCCTGATTTGATGGTGTTCCATGTGTTTTCGAGGAATCGAGGAGCAAATGGCCTAGTATCAAAACTAAACTTGTTTAGCATGGGCGCTCTTCATCTGAGTAGATCATCAATCGGTGGAGTGCATGGGTTATTCTATAGTAGAAAATACCATATTTAATAAGAAAAATGAATCAACTTTTATAATATGGTGCACCTAAAAAGTAACGAAGTTTAGGTATAAAATATCATCTAAGGAGACGTTTGGTTTACATACCATAGGGGTTGAAAACTTGATTCTTAATACCCTTTGTTAATTAAAGTGTCATTGTTAATGTATTTTCTTTTGATACATTACTAGAGTTGTGGTATGAGTCATACTTACCTTCTCCCACCTAAAACACGACCCTGTGAACTTGTAGTGTGGCCTTTAAAATTAAAGTTTTTTTAAACCAAACATTAATTAGATGTGGATTTTAATACTATTTCAAACTCATATACCTCATACCCAGTACATAAAATTTATAAACCAAACACCCCGTAAAAAAATAATACAATATGACATTATTTGGATCTTTTACCAAAATGGCTAATATAACAAAAGTATTTACCAAAATGGCTATTTATGAATTTTAATTACAAAACTAGCTACAGAGTACATTATTATCTTGAATGGAAAATTACCCCCCCCCCCTTTTTATTTTTAATTTTATTAATTTTCCTTTGAATCAGTTAACTTCAGCTTTTTTATTATATTTTTTTTTTACTTCTAAGTTTTTTTTGGGTTTTAATTATTTGTGAAAATTCTAAAGCCATAGTTTATAATATCCCATTAATTTAGGAAAATACATTCAACATTGCAACACTTTTCAATTATTTAAAGTCAACCAAAAAATCATACAAAAAGTTCTTCTAAACTTCAATTATAACACACACACACCAAAAAAAAAAAAAAAAAAAAAAAAAAAAAAACCAACTATATCAGCAACTTTTGTATGTGGCCACATCGTGTGTTCAGCTGACACACACTAATTAACCCTTAATCGACGAGTAACCCCTGACCGATTGAATAACCCTTAACTGACTTAATAACCCCTTATCGACTTAGTAACCTTTGAAAGAGTGAGTAATCTTGATCGGATAAATCTTGACCGACCGAGTAAACTCCCTATGACACTAACAAAGTAACCCCCATAATGGTTGGCCACACCGTGTGGCCAGCCACATGTGAAAGTTTGTGGAATCATAACAGTAACTTTTATGTGCGGCTGGCCACACCGTGAGTCCAGCCGACACACACCAAGTAACCCTTGATCGATGAGTAATCTCTAACCGACCTAGTAACTCCTAATGGACTTAATAACCCCTGATCGAGTGAATAACCCCTGACCGACTTAGTAACCTAGTGAGTAACCCTTTATCGATTAACCCCTGACCGACCGAGCGAGTAACCTCTAACCAACCCATTAACCCATAACCGAGTAACCCGTGATCGACTTAGTAACCCCTGATCGATTGAGTAACCCCTATATCACTACAAAGTAACCCCCATTGTGATTGGCCACACCGTGTGGCCAGCCACATGTGAAAGTTTGTGGAATGATAATATCTTGATTATTGATAATAACTAGAGTTATACCATAACTGTTAACGAGAAAAACATTTTTTAAAATCCAAATCAGCGACTAACACTGACTTCTCCCAAGAGCCCGAAGATGAGAAGAAAACTACTTCAATTTACAATTTTTTGATTAAACTACTACGTGAATTGAATGTACAATTTTTGTGATACAATCTAAACAAAAGTTTAGAATTTTTTATAATCTTGAAATTAGGATTATTTCTTATTAGCGGCTGTTTAGTATATGTATATTGCCATAATGGTATACAGCTTTAAAATTTTCCAACTAATTTATAACCGAAAATACAAAATCCAAAAAAAACAAAAAAAAATTCAGAAATGACCATTTTGATAAATACTTTTGTTAAAATGGCGATTTTGGCAAAAGATCCGCATCATTTATATTCACTCATCTTTAACAATATGAGTCACCTTTATTTATATTTATTATGATTTGAAATACTTTGAAAGAAAATAAGCCAATTCAACAGTTTAAAAAAGTGTACCTCATAGGCCCTAACAGAGATACTATACACAAATCTAAAACCCCTCGCGCGCGACTACCCTCCAGCCCACTTGAGTACCTTATATAAACACCTAATCGGCTAATCTCCACCTTTCTGTCCCACCATCCGCCTAATCCCCGCCTTAGATGCTCCTCCAAAAAAAGTTCTTAAGTAACCCAATAAACTAAAATATATTACCAAAAACAATTGCTTAATATTACATAATTATTTAAACTCAAAAATCAAAATCTAAAAATAAAAGGTTGTATACATATAAACATAGAAAAAAAAAATGGTTTTCAAGCTCAAATGATGCTCCGTATCATAGTATGTACACATGATGAATGGCCATGGGTTGTTAGCTTTTAAATTGTTGATAACTATCTTGAAGTCTATATTTATGATTATTTGACTTATCCATTAGTGTATTTTTTTTTTTTTACTTATACATTTTTCTTTTTGGCTATACATATATGAAGAAGCATATTCTATGTCTTGTATGTTTTGATTTGAACATGGTATTAATTACTTTAATAGAAATAAAAACAATATTCTATGATAAATATAAAGTAAAGGCACAATTGTTCGAGATTATAGAGTCGTAAGAGTTATTTTGCCTCAAAACTTAAGTTGTCATTAAGGAAATTAGCAAATGAGTGGAAACCTAATATAACGACACGTTTGGTGAATACTGAATAGTTATCAATAAACCTATACTAAAGGTGAAACCTTTTTGACACGTCATTCTCTGATAAAAAGTTTTCCCTCTAATTTTTTATTTTTCAATTTTATTCTTTTATTTTAATTGTTACTATATCTTTTTTATTTTCTTTTTATTTTTTTTTCTTTTTTTTAGGGAAAATTGTTACTAAATCTAACATATCTTAAATTACACTAGAAGAAAAAAGGTAATGCGAAGCCCCAAATTGGAAGCGGTTCTTGAAATCCGCTTCCAATTCCGTACAAAAACCCGCCCAAAATTAAAAAAAAAGGGATAGAATTGGAAGCGGTTTTGGTTGAACCGCTCCCAAAAAGTAATTGGAAGCGGTTCAAACCGCTTCCTTTTCTTAAAAAAAAAATGCGGGATCTAACCTCCTTCATTTCCCCTTCATTTTGCCCAATACTCCATTTCGCACACTCCTCCTTCATTTCCCCTTTCACTCTCACACACTGGCGCTCCACCACCACCGCCATTGCTAATGTTGTTGCTGCTTAACTTAACCCCTACCACCACCAAGTCATAAACCCGCCACGACCACTGCTGTTGCTACTGCTGCTGCTGCTCCGACGCTACTTGTGGACGTATTGCTGCTACTGTTGCTTATTGACGCTTCTCGCCGCATCCACCACACTCGGCCTCACCACAGGCATTGCTGTTGCGACGTTGCTTGTGGACCCCTCTCACCTTGCCCTCACTCACTCCATTGCTGCGACGTTGCTCCTGCTGCCCCTCTCACCTTCACACGGCACCACCACCACATCTCTCCCTCTCACGACCCCGCATTCCTTCTCTTTGTCCCTCTCAAATAGGGTGAGTTCATGCTTATTCTTACTACCTTATCTATTTTTTCTCAACAATTTCCCAAATTTTAGGGTTTCAATTTTAGTTAATCATATTATTTGTTAATTATTTTATTAATTATTTGTATACATAATGTTAATTGTTACCTTAATTGTATAATGTTATATGTTGTTTGAATTTGAGTAGCTAAAAAGTGATGAATTAATGAATGGATTGTAAGTAAGCTTAGTTTGCTTGTAGATAGTCCAATCAGCATTATATGAATGAATGAACTTGTGTTTTGTTAAACGTCAAACAAATGCAAATTATTGAATGCTTGCATCGTCATTTGCCTAGATACCCGTTCGAGTCTTTCTCATTAGGAGGAAGTCTTGAATAATCCCCGGTTGGGACTGTTCTTGGACGTTTAATCTCACTTAGGTAGTGAATGTATGTCTCTTATTCGATTTTAAGGAATATCTCGGCTTAGCATTTTGTCACTATGTTCTCTGGGTGCATATGTAGGTAAGTAATTACCTACGTTGTGTACTTGGAGAACTGGGGGGAAATGCTGCCGGATTTTCCTTAAAATTGGAAAGTTGACATACATTCACTAGTGAGATTAGACGTTCATGGATGGATTAGGTTGGACTGATAAGGACCTTTTAGGAGCATTCATTTTTACACTATATGTATGAAGGATATAAATGCATACTATGTACTTTGATTGACATAATATATGTTGCATTTATACATTATTTGTAATGTGTTGGTATGTGTA